ACTGTCCAGGTCTGCGGCCACGGATCGTCGCGCGTGGAGAAGCACCGTACGGAGCATAATCGAGGCCGGCTAGATCAGTCATGATCACAGCCGTAACAAGTACAAGTAAGTAAGCACATAACTTTGGCCTTTGTGTCACACACCCCACCATACACCACCTGGTCAAAGTCTACACTTGACCGGGAATGTACACCACAACAATCTGGTTCGTATCCTACGGAGTGGTAGTGCCATGGATTTTAGTGCACCGTGATAGCCTCAAGCACATCAGATTGTTTATAGCGGTAAAAGTGCTCCGAGTCGTCTACCTCACTCTCGATTCCCACTCCGAGCCCTAGCCACACGCATCACTATACCAGAGACGGTGACCTTTGACTGCTCTTCTGTCAGAAAGGTATTCTCGATCAGCACGAAAAATGGCAAGCGAGCTCACCAAGAATACAGACAGACAAAACCAGACTTCTGTGACAGAATGTATTGGCATGCGCCTCCATAGGCATAATTAAGCCGTATTAATTGCATTGAAGACTGTTTAACCACATTGCAGTCAATGTATGAGACAGGCGGTCATTAGTACAATATCGTCTAGATTTTCATGACAGAAGAACGTGGGACATAGCACAGGGGCAACTGTTAAGTCAACTTGGCCAATGAATAGTACAACACTGCACGAACAGCTCCTATGAGAGGAAGGTCTTGCAAGTGACAACGAACAGACGGTAAAAGACGTACAGTAGATGACTATAAGAAGCGGCGATAGCCAGGCGGGTATTTGCGAGTAGAGTGGAACCTCAGTTAACGCATGTAATCAGTTCCGGCACCGAGCTTGACAGCTGAAACGATCGTCTTGCGAACCGTAGCCAATCAAAATGCGTCAGTTCACTAATTGGTTGCAGGACCATTGTCCTGGGAGCAGGACTCAGCGGCGGATACAAGCAAACACTCGCACTACCAAATCGTTCACTGGGTGGAAGCTCGTCAACTGAAACATTTGTTCTGCTAGTGCCTCGCTCGTTGCTTAAAATGCTCGTAACCCGAGACTTCACTGTACTTTGGAGCATGTACGACTAGAAAATGTAGCAAGAACGCGCAAACCCCTTAAAAATGACCACTCAAGTAGAGGAAATATCATTTAAATAATGGATCATTGAAAAAAACACTACACATTGGGTATTAGGAGGTGCTAAGTCCTGCAGCGTAACTATCATTGACCTGACCAGGCATATTTTGTATACCAAAACTATCAGGACTATACTACTGTAGTAACTCGTTTTATCTGAACATGACACACAGACACAGAACGAACCCGTAATGTAGTGTTCATTGAACCTCTTAGGGGATGACAAAACCAAATAATCCAAACAAACAATCGTCTGGATTCCTACGGAAGAAATTGTTGATGACATCACCCCGCAATCAGTAAACAGACAAGTTGTTACAGAGAAGAGGAATTCGGTTACTCACGATACTATCGGCTATACTTCCTGCAGCAGGTGGGGGGAGATCGTGGGCGCTCATATCTACCTTGACGTCTGCCGTTGAAAAACTGTGTTCTGACGTAGCCTCCATGTCGCTGGATTCGGGCACTGCAGAAAGACTGCGGTGGTCGTCAGAAGATTCTGTTTTAGGTGGGCCATGCGGGTTGACGTCAATGCAGGCTACACCGCGGTCTAGTTCACAGGTAGCTGTTTCACCGGTGGACATACGTCGCAGCTGGCCGGGGAAGGAGACCCTGGCAGATTCTAGATTGCGTACCTGTCCAGTCCTGACACTGGAAATAGGGGGTAAAGAATGTAGGGGTAGTTGTAGTTCAAAGTGTCATCCACATCAAGAATACCCACCGGAAGTCTGATAAAACCTAAGCCAAGATCACTCAGCAAGACAAGTAAAGCTGGGAGCGGCTACCAGAGAACAAACGAATTAGGAGTCTTAGGCCGAAGCGGAGATTCGCCAGCCTATTCAATTAGACATCGAACTGGCAAATTTTCTAATTACCAAGATAGATTGGCGTATAGTCAGTGAATAGTCTGTGAATACCACGCCCTAGATGTGATAAGAAAGTGCACATGTATGGTTTTGAAATTGTTTGCTGTTCATACAGTGTTAAGAGGGAACAGATTTTTTTACTCGTCAATGAAGCTAATAACCTACTTGTATTGGAGAAATAGCGCAATCAGAGCTCGCCTGGGTCAGACGATTGATCCGAATTCGCAGATGTTACTGCATTGCACGTGAATACTTATTAGGCGGCTGATTATATACTTGGTTTGTGTCAGGTCTAGCTGTCGGATAAATTTCCAACCATAGGTACATCTGGTAGCTGCTAAACGACCTGACTGTTATGTAGGACTTTAAGAAATTTACCGAAAATCGACGTCGTCTGAAGGATTATATGTTAAACAGCTCTGTACATGTACTCAGATGAAAATTAACACACACAGATGATGGAGGATTTACAAAGCGATAACAAAACAGCTCACCACCACTCAATGCCATGAACGAGAGAGTGAAATCCTTGAGGTCTGCTACGTAGAAATGCTGTCATGCCGTACAGAGACTCGAGGGCGGTGCCTACAATGAGAGGTGCATAGTATTTGACACTTTGCGATGTAAACTAAATGCCAAAATTTTAAAAACAAACGAAGGCAGGGCCGCCAACTACCCTGATTAATAATGGCCTAACTACGCAGTGGCTACGCAGTACTCCTTCGCCAGTACCAACACCGGATCGACCCCTCCACTTCCGACAGCTGTCCTGATTGCGGCGTCTCTCGGCATGACCCTCGGCATCTTTTTACCTGCAGTTCCGGCCAGGCACCCAGCTCCCCCCTGT